GCTTCAGGCTTGAGCAGTTGGACGGACCGAGGATGGGTTAGATAATAATAAGGGAGAATTTGAGTTTGAACCCCATATTTTGGGTGATATCTGACTTTGCACCTCATGTTTAAAATCATTAATGTATGCACCCATGAGCACAAAAGTTGTGAAGGAGTGGGGTGCAAAGTCAAATGATTTTATAGTGAATGTTGGATATAATCCATGAATACTTTAATTTTCATATTGGAATTATCTAGAGAATTAACTGAGCGGAAGCGTACCTGACTCCATGGGAGATGATCTTTAGGGATCCGGGAGACGGAGGCTAGGGTTTGCATCTTCTAGCTGATACACGCCCTCAGGAATTATCTCTCTAGCGATGGGATGCAGAAAGACGGAATGACGTGTTCAACTAGGGACCATAACTCATTTATTTATAGAGAGTGTTTAACCCTAATCAGCCCATCATTGATTAGGTCAAGCCCATGGGTCTCTACACATTTGGGCCCTATACCTTATTAGATAACATATTAGCCCACTTAAATTAATATCCATAAGACAACTAATTTTTGGGCCTAAATATAAGATAGCATATAACATACAATTAAACCCAATAAATAATATATTGTGAGTAATACATGTAGTATGAGTCCAATAATCTAACAATCTCCCACTTGGACGACATACACATGTATACACACAATCCTTAGAATTGTATGTTTACTTTAGGAGCTCCAAAATTTTGCTATCAAACTGTAGTCATCTTAATAAATTCGGTCCATTAATTATATCAACATAGGACCTGTGAAGGTAAGTCCCGTATATCCGAAAGCCCAACACGAACTTTTGATATATCAGGAATGGTACAGAATCAAAGTGTATAACCAAATATAAAATATGAACTCACTAATACTCAAAAGCCCACTCGTATTAATTAACCTGTCTGATTACAAGGAAATTCCCAATCGGTAGGTCGGAATAATGCTTTAATACAATAAATAAGAGCAATATTGCTATTCTAGAGCGTGAGTATTGAAATGCTAACCCTTACAATGATTTTAAACCTTCCATTTATACTAATGGAGAGCATGGGCCGCTCTATGCTGATTGGCTGTAGTTCCACCGACTTGGTCACACATGTTTCCACTTGCTGATGTCACAATCTGGCATTAATTGCACCTGGCCACTTGCTGGTTGTCCGTTGCTCGAACGGGATGTTGGACCATGCTGAAGACGTTGTCAAATTGGCCCAAGTATGATATATAGTCCGAACTCCGTTCGGTACATCTTCTTTCTGGGCCGGCCCTTACTTGGGCCGAACCTCGTTCGGCATGAATTCTTCATTGGATCTACTCATCATAGAGTGATGGGCTCGTTGTTTGGGCCGGGTATCTTGGACCTTTTTTATCCGGGTATTGGGCCTCTGGATCAATATCCCAACATGACCAAATAAGTCTTTGCTATATTTGAATAACTAGACCCATCAATGATCACGTACATTAATATAATAAACGACATGGATCAAGTATATGTGTGTAGCATGGAAATAACATAAAGTGTGATCTGGAATAGAATGTGTATTTCCAACTGGTCCACCTTGAGATCAATAATATTACTGTAAAAGTACATAAAACTTTAAACTTTATTTCTGCAGAAAATAACATTAAAACTTGAGTTAACCAAATGTAGAAACATTACAAACTCCCATTAAAACTCATAATCCTCAACTGATTTGACACCCATTTGAGCAACATACTCATGAAACAATTTGGGTGGTAATCCTTTAGTGAGCAGATCCGCAATCATGGAGTTTGTGCTAATGTGCTCTATAGATACTTTCCTTCTTGTACTCGTTCCTTAACAACCTTAAATTTGACCCCAATGTGTTTTGTCATGGTCAAACTACTGTTGTTCTTAGCATAAAGGACTGATGACCTATTGTCACACAATAGCTTAAGTGGTCTTTCAATGCTATCCACTATGCGCAGTCCACTAACAAAATCTCGCAGTCATAATGCCTGATTGGATGCCTCATAACATGCTATAAACTCTGCTTCCATGGTGGAAGTAGCTGTAAGAGTCTGCTTGATACTCCTCCAGGAGATAGCTCCTCCAGCTAGAATATAAATGTAGCCTGAAGTGGATCTCAAGCTATCTTGACATCCAGCAAAATCAGAGTCGGTATACCCAATGATCTCAAGCTGATCCGATCTCCGATATGTGAGCATATATTCCTTTGTTCTCTGTAAATACCGCATGACCCTTTTGACTGCTTTCCAATGGTCCATTCCCGGATTGCTCAAATATCTGCCTAACATCCCAACAATGTATGTCAAATCAGGTCTTGTACAAACCTGGGCATACATCAAACTTCCTACAGCCGAAGCATAAGGAATGTTCCTCATTTCTTTAGATTCAAAACCATTCTTAGGGCACTGCATGAGACTAAACTTGTCTCCTTTAGAAACTGGGGTATCTCCTGGTTTGCAGTCTTGCATACCAAACCTTTTGAGAACCTTATCGATATAGCTCTTTTGTGAGAGTCCAAGAACGCCTTTGGAGCAATCTCGGTGAATTTGAATTCCTAATACAAAAGAAGCCTCACCAAGATCTTTCATTTCAAAATTCTTTGAAAGAAATCTCTTAGTTTCGTGCAATAGGCCTACATCGTTACTAGCAAGCAGTATGTCATCAACATACAAGACCTGGAAAGTATGCTTACTCCCACTGAACTTGTGGTATATACAATCATCATTGACGTTTGGTTGAAAACCAAAAGATATAATGACTTATGAAACTTGTGATACCACTGACGAGAAGCCTGTTTGAGCCCATAGATGGATTTCTTTAATTTGCAAACCATTTTCTTTGAATCTCCCGAAACAAAGTTTTCTGATTGCTCCATATAGATTGATTCCTCAATGTCACCATTGAGAAATGCAGTTTTTACATCCATATGATGAAGCTCAAGATCAAAATGTGCCACTAATGCCATTATTGTTCTAAAAGAGTCTTTCGAGGATACCGGAGAGAAAGTCTCTTTATAGTCAACTCCTTTCTTTTGAGTGTAGCCTTTAGCAACAAGACGAGCTTTAAACCTTGTAACATTGCCCTTTGAATCCCTCTTGATTTTAAATATCCATTTACAACCAATGTGTTTAATACCTTCAGGCAATGAGACTAACTCCCAAACATCATTGTCACTCATAGACTTCATCTCATCTTTCATGGCATTAATCCATTCTTGAGAGTTAGAACTTTTCATGGCTTGACGAAAGTTGATTGGATCATCTTCCGCAAAACCAACATCTGATTCTTGTTCTTGGAGGAAGACAATAATTTCTTCCACCAATTCCCAATTTTCCTCATGTTCTTGGAGAAATACAATATAATCATCCGGAATTGTCCTTCTCCTCTCTCGAGTGGATCTCCTTAATGGCACCTCAGGTTCTTGAGGTTGTTGAGTTTGATCCCCATTAATAAATTCAGGTACTTTATTGGGGATGTTTTCGAGATTGTCATGAACTGGAGTTGTTTCTTGAACATCATTAGGAATAAACATATCTTGATCATGTTCAATGACAACTGAAGGAAGAGTAACATGTTCTTCCTCAAAGACAAAATCTCTAACCTTATCTCCCCACCCCCCAGATTCAATATCCTCAAAGAACCGGGCATTACCCGTCTAAAAAATAGTCCTGGTAGTGGGATCATAAAACTTATACCCCCTTGACCTCTCAGAGTATCCTACAAAATAGCTACTAACTGTTCTTGAGTCCAGTTTCTTTTCATTTGGCCTATAAGGCCTTGCCTCAGCTCGACAACCCCAAACATGGAAATGATATATACTTGGTTTCTTTCCAGTCCAAATTTCATAAGGGGTTTTAGTTGTAGCTTTAGTGGGAACTCTGTTAAGTATGTAAGCTGCAGTTTTCAGTGCCTCTCCCCAGAGGGAATCTGGTAAAGTAGTATGACAAATCATACTCCTAATCATGTCCTTCAATGTACAGTTTCGTCTCTCAGCAACACCATTCATGCTAGGAGTTCCTGGCATGGTGTATTGATGAACAATTCCACACTCCTCTAGGAATTTAGCAAATGGCCCTGGACGTTGTTCACCGGAACCATCATATCTACCATAGTATTCACCACCACGGTCAGATCTAATGGTTTTTATTCTTTTGCCTAATTGGTTTTCAACTTCGGCCTTATAAGATTTGAACACGTCTATTGATTGGGACTTTTTATGAATGAGATAAAGGTAACCATAACGAGAGTAATCATCTATGAATGTGATAAAATATGTTTGGTCATTTCTACATGGTGTAGAGAATGGTCCACAAATGTCCGTATATATCATTTCTAATAGATCTGAAGCTCTCTCGGCGCCTAATTTCCATTTATTCGTTTGTTTTCCCTTAACGCACTCAACACAAATATCAGAATTTGAGGAGTCAAGAGAATCAAGAATTCCATCTGACACATGTCTCTGAATTCTTTCTTTAAAATATGTCCTAAACGCTTGTGCCATAGTGAAAACGAATTCTCATTGGTTAATTTTCTTTTAGTACCACGAGTACTAGCATGCAAAGTTTCATTCTATGAGGTATTTATATCAAGTGAATATAGATTATCATAAATTGATAAAAGGCCAGTACCAATAAGTTTTGAATCTTGAAATAGACTGAACTGACTATTTCCAATGAACAAGAATAACCAAATTTGTCCAATTCAGAAATAGAAATTAAATTCCGTCTAAATGACGGCACAACAAATGTCTCTTTCAAATCCAAATAAAAACCAGTCTTTAATAATAATCTAAAAACACCGATAGCCTCAACTTCACCCGCTTGCCATCACCGATATAGATGTATCTTTCACCATCAATTGGTTTTCGGCAGCTTAGGAAACCCTGCATAGATACACTTATGTGAGTAGTAGCACCGGAATCTACCCACCAAGTATCTTTTGGTACCGAAATTAAATTAACCTCAGAACAAACAAGAGCAAGAGACATACCCTTTTTCGCACGCCAAGCGTGGTACTTAGTGCAGTTCTTTTTCTTGTGATTAGTCCCTTTGCAAAAGAAGCATCCAGATTCCTTAGTTTCTTCTTTAGTTTCCTTATGATGCTTCCTGGGAGGCCCTGAATTTGCAGCTTCCTTAATTTTCCTTTTCTTGCTGCCCTTAGAGGTAGATGCCAAATGAGCACTTTCTGTCTTGTCTTGCTTTATTCTCTCTTCCTCTTGAACACAATGAGAAATGAGCTCATTGAGAGACCATTTCTCCTTAATGCAGTTGTAACTGACTTTAAATTGATTAAATTGAGAAGGAAGAGAGATCAAAACTAAATACACAAGCAATTTCTCAGGTAAAATAAGCTTTAGTGCACTTAGTTTTGAAGCAATGTGAGACATTTCCAAAATGTACTCCCTTATGTTCCCTTTGCCTTTGTACTTCATGGATACAAGAGTGCTCAAAAGAGTACTAGTTTCCGCCTTTTCGTTTTTAGCAAAACGTTTTTCAAGTTTGGCAAGGAACGATTTGGCATCAGCCTCATCAGACATTGTGCCCCTGAATGATTCTGGAATTGCACGTTTCATGATCATTAAACTCATGCGGTTTGAGCGTTCCCACCTCTCCATCTCCCTCTTTTCATCAAGGGTAGATGTGTCCTTAAGAGCGGTGAGTTTCTCAGTCCGAAGTGCAAGGTCTAGATCCATGCAGCCGAGAACGATCATAACATTCTCTTTCCATTCCTTAAAATTCGTGCCGTTAAGCACTGGGATGCTATTAATATTAGCAGATATTGTAGCAGCAGAATTGTTGACTGAAAGAGAATAAAAATAATATAAATGACATGCTCTAGAAACTGAAATTAACTTGATAATTAATTTTAAATTTAAATATTAGCAATCCCCATCACAAGATACCTAGCGCAACATCTAATCTTGTCTTTGGACATAAATTAGACTTGCAAGTGGTACTCTTGGTGTGATAATAAAATTTTGATAATGAAATCATATCAAATATTAAGCCTTTCTTTGGACCGACTTAATTTTCACACGAAAAACTTCATAATCATCACAAATTTTATTATCACAAATGTACTTAAATTTCGGCCAAATAATAACCTCCCTTTGGACCGATTATTATCCGCATGAAGTAAGAAAGTACACAATCATCTTAATACATGAGTTAATTAATTTCAACAAGAGAGACTACTTTGACAGCATGTTGTGTCAATTAACTAACCCAAATATTAGACATGCTAATATTAAACCAAAGAATCAGAAAAATAAAATTGGGCGAATTTTTCTGAATCACATGCAAATGTGTTATGTATAATGATACTTTGTAAAACCCGTACCCAATCGTTGTGCGATCGCAAAACAGGGTTTATACATCCCATAACACACAATACACATTTTTCAAGCCACAAATTACAACGACCAAAATAATATATTCCGGTAATGCAAAATCATGTATTTCTGATAGAACTAATATGTTGACCGTAATTACATATAAATATTTAATTACCAAAATCGGTAATAATCACATATATGTACTTAATTACCAAAGCCATATATAACATTTCCAAAATTGAATCACCAAAAAAAAGAACATATCAAAATATAATTTGTTACACATACCTTTGCTGATTCAAAAAATTGGAAACAATTAAAATCAAATAATAAAAGTGACATGAATCACTTTTTAATGGCCGAAAATCTCTAACCATATGAACAACAAAAACTAAACTATCAATTCCGAAAGGTACGTGGCTAGCACCTTTAAAAAAAACTGAAATTGTGAATCAGTTTGTATCGCATTAGCCACACCTAAATAAAATAATAAATTATTAATTAACAGTACTCCATAAAGTGATACGGAGTAACCCATAAGAACATACCTACAAAAAAAACTTTTGCCGATTGATAAGAAGAAAAGAAGCAGTAATCGACAGACACAGAGTACTGAGTTAATTAAAATTGTTGATTGTAGTTATTGTGTATCTTATCGCAATTGCGATTTGAATAAATGGAAACACCAGAAAAAAAAGCACAAAACGCTGCTGCATCCCCTACATGACTGACTCGGCGGATCATATGACAAAACAAATTTTACAAATTCAATCGTGTAGGATTGAAACAAAAGTATGAATACTCCAAATAACTCAATATGAAGGAGGCTCTGATACCAATTGTTGGATATAATCCATGAATACTTTAATCTTCATATTGGAATTATCTAGAGAATTAACTGAGCGGAAGCGTACCTGACTCCATGGGAGATGATCTTTAGGGATCCGGGAGACGGAGGCTAGGGTTTGAGTCTTCTAGCTGATACACGCCCTCGGGAATTATCTCTCTAGCGATGGGATGCAGAAAGACGGAATGACGTGTTCAACTAGGGACCATAACCCATTTATTTATAGAGAGTGCTTAACCCTAATCAGCCCATCATTGATTACGTCAAGCCCATGAGTCTCTACACATTTGGGCCCTATACCTTATTAGATAACATATTAGCCCACTTAATTAATATCCATAGGACCACTAATTGTTGGGCCTAAATATAAGATAACATATAACATACAATTAAACCCAATAAATAATATACTGTGAATAATACATGTAGTATGAGTCCAATAATCTAACAGTGAATTGGGGTGCATACATTAATGATTTTGAAAATAGGGTGCAAAGTCAAATATCACCCAAAACATAGACTGCAAAGTCAAAATCTCCCTAATAATAATACATATAATAGTAGTAATGTATAAAAACAATTTGGGCCCCTATTTTTTCAATGTTTTGGGGTCCTGAGGCTTGGGCCTCTCCAGCCTTGCATAAGGCAAGGACCTGCTTACATTTCGCCGACGTCGTGGTCTTCATGTGTTGATCATGATAGGTCGATCCGTTAATTAATTGTTGTAACGGGACCCCAAAGAGGACCGTAGCGTTTGGGTATTAAGAGCTTCAAATTCTTGAGACTCTTGTTAGTAGACTTGTTGGTCAGTATCACTCAACAGAGTATATGTGGTAAATGGCCCCCTGGCCGATGGCACGCTGGTGCCGAGGGCTCACGGTGCCGAGGGCTACTATTTTCGCCGTTTTCTCCCAGTTTCCTAATTTGCTTGAGAAACCCGCTCTGTGATAATTTGGAGCCTTCGGCCAGGGGGCCGAAGGCACCCCTGTGCGTTGTGCGGACTGCTTGGTACTCTGGGCGCTGTGATTTGGGCCTGTTGGGCCTGTTGGGCCTTTGGTGGAGTAGAAGGAGTCTGTGGGCCGGGGGTTCCCGGGCCATATACTCCATCAGGAGTCCCTCACTCCTTTTACCGAAAGGTACTTGAGGGAAAAGGAGTAACTTGTGCTTGCCTTTTGATGTTGTCCTGTCGTGATCCCTGAAGTTGGTGAGGAGTTGTTGCTTTTATGTCCCTGCCGAAGGCAGTCCCTCAGTTACCCACATGTCGAGACTTGAGGGCTTGCTTCGTTGTTTGTTTGGAATTTCACAGATTTTGTAATTTAATGATTTTCCCGAAGGGGTCCTCCAGTCCCCCACTCCTTGAGGCACTTGTAAAGTGGTGAAAAAGGAGTAAAGTAGTTACGTTGCTGTTGCGGGCCGAAGGCTGACGCTTTCGTTTCATTTTGGGGGGATGCCTCATTAAAAACCTCATTAGGAAAAAACCCTTTGGGAAAAAATCCTAATGAGGGAAAAAGAGTGCACCGAATTCCCCCAATGATGAATCGAAAATGTCAAACCTTGGTAAAAAATGGAGAATGGCGGGAATGCCGAAGGCTCTCTCTCCTGAGGGCTCCTGTGTCGATTAGCCGAAGGCTTGCTGTTGATATCCTGGTGGCGCCGAAGGGGAGCCCCTCAATCCAGGGATCGAGGGCCTGCCAGATGAGGTCAGCAGTGAAGCTTTTACCGGGGGGTCCACTGTTTGTTGATGAGGTGGTGATGAAGGTACCCGAGGGCCATGGGCCATCCATCAATGAGGCACTCCCCGGGGGCTACCCGGTTTTGCAGTGCTGAGGGGAAAACCCCGAGGGGTCCCCTGATATGCAGCCCTAGGGATCTGAAGGAGTGATCCCGAAGGCGTGTGTAATGTGCTGTGTGGGGCACAACCCGGGGGCACTTCTGGGTGAGTGCACCCGGAGGCTATCCTTGATGAAGTGGAGTGAAGTAGAAAGCCCGGGGGCTTCCAAAATATAGCCGTTGGAAATATAGCCGTTGGAATATGTAACGACGGGATATAGCCGTTGGGGGGGGACACGTGGCGTGTGATGGCTGGCTGTCCGTGGGCGGCGTCACCGGTTGGGCGAAGACGCGGTGAGTAATGATGGCGTCCATCCGGAGGCCCGGAACCCAGGCCCAAGCCCGGATTCCAGCGCCTATAAATACCCCAAGGCCGGGCATTCCTCTGTGTGCGAAAAACTTGTTAGCGAAGCTCTGTCAATTTTTCTAGAGAGAGAAACAGCAGCCCCCGGTTGAATCCTCTGTTCTTAAGGTCAGTTCTCCAGTTACCCTTCACCTCTTAGCTACCTGTACTGCGCCCCTAGGCTAGGAGATAGAACATTTAGAAAACACTAGTTGTACGAGCCTTCGAACTAGAGCGCGAATGTCGTCCGAGAGTGATTCTCAAGATATCTCGAGGACGCCCTCGATGGAGGACGAAGGCATATCTGACGTGGAGTCAAGCAGTGGTCTACCCTCGGATGGTGGTGATGCGGCCCTGGCCCGGGAGGTCCAGAAGGAACTCACTGCGGAGGTTGAAGCTGAGGGCTTCGAGCAGGAGTGCGATGATGAAGACTTAGCCCTCGCCTGGCAGACAGCGGAGGATGAGGCACAGAATGAGAGCTCGAAGGTTACGATTGTTGTTCTCCCCCCTCGGGGTTCCGGGGAGGCCAGTAGCTCGAGGCCGTTGGATCCGATACCTCTGAGGGCGGTTTCCGGTGTGAAGAAGAAGAAGGCCGCTACCAAGAAGAAGGAGAGGGCCGTCGATCAAGGAAAGCCCGTGGACATGCCCGAGGGGTATAGTTGGCTGAACACTGGGGCCCTCGAGATCAGGTCGAAAGCTGACAGGGCAGATCTGTACGTGACTCAGCTGCACGTGGGGCCCTCGGCCGAAGTGGTGGAGCCAGGTCCCGACGACGTGTTGTCCAGGGCGCCCGAGGGGTGTATCGCTATTCACGTCCTTTCGGTTTCCATGGGACTTAGGTTCCCTCTGCACCCATTCCTCCGGGAATATTTGCGGTTTGTTGGCTTGGTCCCCTGCCAACTCACGCCCAACAGCCACTCCTACATTGCGGGGTTCCTCCAGCTCTGCAAGTCCCGAGGGGTGAAGCCCAGCCTGGATCTATTCTTCCAGAGTTTTAATCTGTGCCGGGGGGGCACGAAAACGGCGAGGGGTACGCCAACCTGCAGCAGATTGCCCGCTTCAAACTATTCTCCGATGCTCCTTCTTCCAACAAAGGATGGAGGGAACGTTGGTGCTACGTGAAGTTGGATGAGAGCCCCTTCCCGAGGGAACTACGTGACCGATTCCGAAGGCACGAAAAGATCTGGAGTGCCGCTCTTGAGAAGGACGGCCTAAAGCTGGCCAAGTTCCCGGAGGGGAAAGACAAGAACGTGGCGATCAAAGACTGCACCCTCGAGGAGGATTTGTACACCCTCGGGTTCCGGAGGTACCGCTTCATAGGGGAAACCGATGAAAAGTACCCTCCCTTCAACAAGGCCTTCGGAGGGGCCGGAGGTAGGAGCCGAGGGCTTTAGAATTTTGTACTTAGTTTTTTTTTCCTTGGATGTTATCGTCCCTTCGCTTAAACCCTTCGGACTAACCCTTTGTTTCCTCTGTGCAAGTATCCCCGTCTCCATGGTGAATGTAAAGGGCATTGCCCGTTTGAAGAAACAGGACCCGAAGGGGTCGGGACAGGGCATCCTGAAGCCCGCTACTGCCCTCTTTAAGAAAGCCGAGGGCGATGCCGCTGCTGGTAAGAGGAAGGCAGTGACCAAGGGGTCCCCCCCGGCTACCAAGAAGCCGAAGAAGGGGGATGTCACCGAGAAGGAGCCCCCGGTCATTATTGCTGATGGGCACCCCGCCTCCGGGGTGCAGGTGGAGAAGCTGCCGGTTGGAACGCCGGCGGGGGCAGAGGAGTCGCTGCCTGAGATCCTCACAGTTGCGTTCCCGAGGGGTATGTCTTTGGCCAGCGGCGCCGTCGACCCGGGGGCCATCCTGAGGGGTATGACCCCTGAGACGGATAGGGCTGCCCTCGGGGCCTACAATGATGCGGCCCTCGAGGACCACATTCTCCGCTCCTCCCTCTCTGTAAGTGTTTACCTGGCTTTCTCCATCTTCTCCTTTGATTATTTTGTGTGATTGCCTTTAACTGTTTTTGTTGTTGTTCTGCAGGCTTGCTTAGCCCTCGGCGAACAGGCTCGGAGGCTTCAAGAATGGCGCCTCCACAGAGCGGAGCAAGACGCCAGAATGAGGGAGTGCCTCCTCAAGAACCAGGAGGCGGTGAAGCTGGGGGCCCAGCTAGAAGAGGAGCTCCGGCAGATGAGCTTGAAACTGGACGCTGCAGAGAAAGGCAAGGCTGATGCTGAGGCCGCTGCCAGGAGAGCTGCTAAAGAGGCCGAGGACTCCAAAGCGCTAGCTGTCGCCAGGGCTCAGGAGGAGGCCGTTGAGGCCTTTGTCGCCGAGGGTTGGAGAGTCGAGGGGCGCAAGATGTGGGTGTCCTCGGTCGTGGAGGCCTGCGTTGAAGAATGGGCCGAGGGCCCTGGGTGGGAATGGATGGCCCGGAAGGGCAGAGAGTACTATGAAGCCGGCGAGTTCTTCACCCAGGCCCTCATCTACCGGAGGATGGCCCGGCATTTGGGCATCGAGCAAAAGGACTTCTCCCCCTCGGCGTATGGTCTTCCCCCCTTGCAGCCTGATGTTCGTGAGCCGCTCCCGGAAGGTGTTCAGAGGCTCGACCTTGAGGACACGGTGTTGAAGAATGAGGCCGAGGACGACGCTGTCGAGACCGGAGCGGAGGCATCATCGAGGCCGGCTGCAGAGGGCGCCCCAGTGAACGATGCTGTCGTAGTTGTGGAATGACTTTGTACTTATAAATTTTTGAACATCTTTTGTAATGAACAACATTGTTCCTTCGGCTTCGGCCCGTTTGTAAATTCACACTTACTCTTGTTTTTGATGAAATGCATGCTGCCTCCGGGCTTTTCATATTCGAATACGCCTTATGTTTTGAATGTATGTCTTCTCCTTTGAATGTATGTCTAGGACTTAGAATACTATCTGATTGTAGCTAGCCCTTAGGAGCCTTCGGTAGTTGGGCACCCTCTGCTGGATATGCAACCGATGGTTCGGCAG